AGCTCTGTGTCCAGCGGGAGTATGCTCTGTGTGCAGCGCCCTCAGGCTCACCCCGCGGGGTGAACAGGCACGAGGCAGCCCTGCTCTGCCCTCCCAGCCGAGCTCCTGCCCAGGATGCCGAGGGCTGAGGGGCTCTGCTCTCCTCCAGGAGGCCGGGGCAGGAAAGGTGAGCCACGTGGAGATGGTTTGCAGCAACGCGGCCCCGGGCTCCTTGCCAAGCGCAATCACTGGCTCTCGCGGCTGCAGATCTATCATCTGTAAGGCATCCTGTGCATTTTTTGAGCTGGAGCAGTAAAGGAATCTGCCCCAGATCATTAAAGTCCTGTTCGTGGGTGGTCTGCACGGGGGAGGGGCTGCTGCCAAGGACGCGTCTGACAGGACTAAGCCTGACACAGAAGGCACCTCGGGAAGGGCCGGGCCCCGAGACTCGGGCTGCTCCTGCGTGCACACACTTCCTAGTGCGCTGTGTGTCTGCTTATCCATCCATCCATCCTCCATCCATCCATCCATCCATCCTCCATCCAGAAGTATCTTTAAAACTATTTTTGCTCACTAGCATGAGCATGCACACACATATGCACACAACACACATGCACACACACATAGTCTCTATCCAACCTCCCTCCGGCTCCCACTGGCTGCCCCAATAAAAGCACATCAAATGTTTTGGATCCGATTTCTTAGTTCCTGTGAATAGCCCGGCGTGATTTTCCGTGGAGAGCTTTGGTTGTAAGATGAGCAGATGCCTGTCAGCTCCACCGCTTGTAGGAAGTCAGGCCAGCAGCCAGTGATACTTTTTAGAGCAACGCCAATTTTCTTCTTAGCCCATAATCCTGTAATGCAGAACAGAAAGTTTTTGCTTCTTTTAATTAAAGCCTTAGTCCTCTGTTTGATTGTTTTGTTTGAAATTTTTTTCCTGAAAAGATAGGATTTAGTCCTAAAATGCCAGTAACTTTAAACTTTCCTAGCGTCTTGTCAAGTGTGATTCATCTCAGAACCATCCAGGAATACAACGGAGAAATCCATGCCCTTGGGCAAACTGATGCCCAACCCACCCTGGCAGAAAGATCGCTGGGCACAGAAGATTAAAAACAGGCCTCACCACGCTGTTTCCACGTCGCCCGGTGAGGACGGTTTCTGTGGCGTTTCACGCGCTGGCCCTTCCTGCCTTGCGCCTGCTCACCATCGGCCCGAGAGGGGCCACGGGCCACGGGCCACTGAGAGCGTCCCTCACTCTGTGAAGCCTCCTCTGCTATTGTCTTGCTCCACCTTTGCTTTTATTTTTTTCTTTTAAAGAGAAAAACCCAGGAAAATCAAGAAACAAACTATTAAAAACAGCAACAAAATCAAAACAACAATAACCAAAACAATGGCAATGCAGGATTTCAAAACAAGATGATAAAATCCAAAAGTCACAATGGATATAGTAAAAGGGAAAAAAAAAAAAAACTGCCCAAAGGAAAATTTGATTATTTGACCAATCTTGCATGCCTGGACCTGGTAGCCTGAGAAATTACTTTGAGGATAACAACATGCGCGATGCCCTACCTTTAACACTGGCTCTCCTGCTGTGGGGTTTGGTCCTGGTCTGTTTGGGCTGGGAATTCTTTCTCAATTGTACTGGACAGCCCTAGGCTGCAGAGTCTCTGACCGCATGGTCCCCTGGGGCCTAGGCTGGAGTCCCTGACCACATGGTCCCCTGGGGCCCAGGCTGGAGTCCCTGACTGCATGGTCCCCTGGGGCCCGCCTCTGGGGAATGCTGTCCAGCCCTGGCCTCAGTAGTGGACACTGTCTTGCCTCTGCCTCCCTTTCAGTTCCTGGCAGCCAGGGGCAAGCAGCTGATGTCACACCTGAGGTGCTCCACTCCCTGGGGAGGGCTCAGGAATCATCACAGGGACCCCAGTCAGGAGTCTGTCCCCTCCCCAGTGCACGTCCTGGAGCTTTCCTGCTGGCCCCATATAGAGTGTGCTCCCTTCCGTGTCTGCCTTTTTCCCATGCCCAGGACCATCTCTGCTCCTCCAGAAGGTCAGAGCTTTGGAAGGGAAAGGTTGCCGTAGGATGAGTGTGAAGGCACAGGCAGAGGCTGCCCTGCGTCTCCAGGTAGAGGATGCTTTCACTGGGACGGGGAAGTCAGGTTAGAGGAGGCCAGCAGCAGAGGGAGCCACACTGCAGAGAAGATACAGGCATGGATGTAAGCGAGGCCTCCTGAACCTGCTTTAACAAAGCAGACACCGGAGCACAGGTCTACGCAGTTCAGACGCCAGGGGCTCGGCTGGGTAGAAGTGAAGGTGAAGTCCTCTGGGGAGTGCCAACAGGAAGAACTTTCTTCGCAAAGGTAGGTGGTTGGACTCACTGGTCCAGCACTTTTCCCACTGGGTCTCAGGCCGTGGAAGTCCTGTCTCGGCCGTCAGAAGCAGGGTGCAGCATCTTCTGCCCTTTGCACTGGTGACCTATGATGCGTGACAGCAGCCAGCCACGCATCCAGGACATCAGCAGACAGCATGCCAGGCTCCAGTCACTGCCCCCTTCTCTGGTCGCAGGCGTCTAATCTCTTTGGAACACAGGAAGTGTGGTAGTGAGGGTCAGAGCTCGGAGGCAGAGGAGCCTGATACAGATGGTCTCTCTGAATCACAAGCTTCGAATATCGTTCGGGGGCAGAAAGCTGAAATTTTGCGTCTTCTCGAAAAAGGAAGACAGGATTTCTCCCTTTTAGATAAAAAAGGTGTATTTTGCAAATTAAAATGTTAATAAGGTCCTTATGGAAAAGAGGATCAGACTGTTATAGAACATAGAAATCCTCCTTTGCTCATCCTGGATTTCTTCGATAGGTCATCCTGGGAATGCAGCTGCATATTCAGGCTTATGGCACCCCTGATATCTTGTTTCTTGGGTTGGTTTCCTCTGATAAGAGAAAATAAAACATATTAATTGTGCTAGCAAAGCTTAGCCCTAAAAATTCAGTGTGTTCAGGAATCAGATGATATAGTCTATGAAATGTAGCTATGAAACCACCAGCTTCAGGAGAAGTTCTAACCCAGTGACTTCCTGCCAGCCCCCATGAATCCATCCACCCACCCATCACATAGCCATCCACCCATCCTTCCAGTCATCCATCCATCTGTCTATCCATCCATTCATCCACTCCCCCATCCATCCATCCATCCATTTGTCCATCCATTCATCCACCCACCCATCCCTCATCCATCTAGCCATCCATCCATCTGTCCATCCATCCATCCACCCAGCTATCCACCATCTTGCTGCCCAAGTTCACGATGGCTTAATCTGAAAGGTGAGAAGATGGGTCCCAGGGGATCTAGACTGCATTTGCTGTTGATGGCTTCATAATTTGGTTCTGACAGTGTTCTGCAGAGATTCAGGGGCCAAATATTTCATGGGCTCCAGTCCATCTGGATCAAGGCCAGGCTGCTGGAGATAGGATGGGGCTGCATGACTTGGGCATCTCACTTTTCCTGGCTCTTTCATCCAAATCTCTACTCAGCTCATCACTAGCCTGCATGGTCTGTGCCTCTGTGCTCCTCTGAGCCCCTGTTCCAGCAGTGCGGTTTTCTCAGATGCCTGCCCTGATGATGCCACATTCACTACCACCTCCCTCACAGGAGCTTAGGAGGCACATTTACTTGCCTGGCGTGGGGCAGCAGGTATTGCTGTGTTCCCAGCCCCTGGCACAGAGCCAGTGACCACAGATAAGCAGTCAGTTGGAATCAGGGCAAAGACTGACTTAGCCACACTGCCCCTCGGGGAGAGCATTGCTTGTGTTTGGAAGGAGTCTTTCAGTAAGTCGAGGGTGAAATCCTCAAGGACACATTGAAGAATAAAAGATGACTCCTAAATAGTCTAAGGCGGGGGATGGCTGACGAGATGATGGAACAGAGGTGCGTGGAGCACCTCGGTAAGTCTTGCATACAGACTTGAGACAGAAGCGACCACTATACCACCAGGAGCTGCTCTGCATAAAGTGGGAAACGGTGTCAGCTTTGGAGTGGGCGAAGTGGAGAGGGAGGTTCGCTCCACGTGGTGAGACCTGCAGGTGCCAGGGGCTGAGAGACTAGAAGCCCGCTCCCTGTGGCTTTGCTGGGGGCCTCAGGCGAGGTCACACCTCGCTCACCATCACTTCCGGACAAGGAGGCTCTTCTGGAAAGCCTGGAGCCTCCGGGTCCGTCTGTGTCGGGGTTTGTTCTGGAGTGAAAGCAGAGCTCATTTGTGGGGCTGCAGCTGGGGAGACTTGGAGGTGCACCATGTGAGGGCCATTGGACTCCGACACCTCAGGGAGCAGGGGCCGCGCAAGTCCCCTGTGGTGTCCTAGCAGCCTGTCCACCTCCATGCATCTGTGTTTCCTGGTTTAGATTGCAACCTGAGGCTCCTGTGATTCAGATAACAGAGGAGGGATGTGGCTGTCACCTAAGTGATTACTGTGTGTGTTGTGCATGACACAGTGGCCTGAGCATGGAGAGTCCAACAGAGGCTGCGTGGGAAAAGGAACGGGGATCTGGGGTTACATTTGCTGAAGGACAGCAGAAGCCTAACCGAGCCCCGGGCCCTGTGCAGGAAGCCACAGCAGTGGTCTCCCACCGGCACAGAAGCCTTCCCTTCCACGGGGCAGCCTGGAGGGCAGGGGACACAGTGGGGACAGCCACCTCCTGTCTGAGAGGCTGGCACAGGGCTTCTTCCTGGGGAGAGCACTTGGCCCTGTGTGTGACCTCCCCTCCTCAGCATTCAGGAGCCCTGGCATTTTCCACACCCCTCCCCCCACTGGCCCAGAGGAGGGCTCAGAGGCCTGAGTCACCACCTCTGTTTCCACAGTGTTTTCCCACTTAGTTTACAGTTTCCAAGGACTAATCTCAGGTGGGATTTCTCATGTTGACCCTAAGTGCAGCCAGGCCCACTTTATAGCTCCTTTATCTTAATTAAATAGGAGCAGTAGATATCAATCCACGGAGAAGTCACACCTCCACTGGAGGAAGCCCTGATAGGAAGGAGGAGCCCATCCTATCAGCTCCAGCCGCCCCCAAGGATAAGCAGTGATATGAACACTTACTTAAGATAAAGCTTGCCTGCTCAGAATAAACCCTGAAGGCTGGACCAAGGCCGCCCAAATCCACTGCTAAGTAAGTTACCAGCAAGGAGGAAAGTGGGAGAGTAAGATAAAGAGAGGTGTGGGCTGTTTTCATGTAATCCACTGTTTCACTTTTTTTTCCCAGCCAACAGTGGAACTGGCTTGCTTGGTAGGCTTGCCACAGGTTCCTCTTGAGACCCAGGCTGGGGCTGGGTGTCCTGGAGAAGAGCGGCTGAGCTGTGGGGCTCAGGTTTGTCACCTCAGTCGCTCCTCGCATTTTAGGGCTCCTGGGGACACAGTGTAAGGGGTTCCAGTCTGTTGTGTAAGAGCCTGCAGCGTCTTCTGTGCACTCTAAATCTCACTTAAACACTCAGTACCGTGTGAATGCTAAGTAAACACCTGGCCACTGGGTCTTAAGGAAATGATGACAAGAAAAAGTCTGTATACATTCAGTGTAGATACAAGTTTTTCTTCCATATTTTTAAGTCCACGGTTGGTTGAGCCTACAGCTATCAAGCTCTGACTTCACCTGCTTGGCTGTCACCTGAATTATTATTATTATTATTATTGTCTGCAGTTATTCGTTTTGGAAATAATGGAGATGACAAAGTCCCTGTCCCTGAGGAGAAATAAACGACAGGTTTACTTCCATGGCAGGGACTTCTCCCATGCACGCGGCCCGGCAGGGAGCTAGAGGTGAGTGTGGTGTGGAAAAGAAAAGGAGGGGAAGAGAAATCAGGATGGAAAGCGGAGTCTACTTGTTTTTTTATTTTTGTCTTTTTCCTTTTTATCGGTACCAGGGATCAAACTCACGACTGCCTGCTTGCAAGGCAGGTGCTTATGCCGCTGAGCTAAATCCCCAGGCCCTGGAAAGTGGAGTCTAAACAGATTCCTGGTTATTCCAGGATCGCTCGCATCAAGAGGCCTTAGATGAACATGCTTCTTTGTAACAAGAAGGTAGCCCAGGAACGATGCATGTGGTTTTCAGAAACAGGCGCAGAAATGCCCAGGGCTCTGGAAGGGGCTGCACAGGCAGGAGGGGCTGGACTCAGATCTCAGGCTGCAGGTTTCTTCAGAGACCTGTGTTCTCGTCCCTCCAATTTGGTTGACTTGAAAGCCAATGAAACTCCCCACAGAGGGCTATTTTTGTAATTAAATATAACCTCAAAGTGTGTGATTTTCTGCCAGAAAATGAATGACTTGCAAGTCTGCTCGAAGTAGATAAGTTTATGTTTGCCGAGACAGAACTGCCTGGTGAAGTTTTCTACCACGCCCATCATTCCCAGCTGGGCTCACTGGTGTTTGTTGTCTTTGACCAGGACAAAGGCCGGCTGTGAAGAGATGGCTGGGATCACAGCCTTTGATTCCAGCCCCAGGAGTGATCCCTGACTTTTGGGGAGCCTACAAACCCCAATTGGCTGATGTGTAATTAATGAGCACTTGTTTCATGGGCTATGAACCAAGCGTGGATTTTGAGATGCATATGAACAAGTAAACGAAATGACTTTTTAATAAAGAGAAAGGGAATTTTTAGAGCATCCATATCTGTTCTTTTTTTTCTTTTTATTGGTACCGGGGATCGAACTCATGACCGATGCCACTGAGCTAAATCCCCAGCCCTCCATATCTGTTCTTAGAGATGGATCACTCGGCTTCTTGGCTTCCTATTTGCTTTGTTATGCAATGACCACCAGGCACGGTCAGGACCCTAGGGTCATCCACTCTTCCTGGTTGGCTGGACTTCAGAGACCATGCAGTAGGACTCTACCTAACTGGAAGTCTGGGCCTGGACCCTATTAAGTGGGAGTGCAGCGGACTCTTGGTTGAGCAATTTCTGATTTGAATGAACTCCACCCTGTAGCTTCTTCTCAACTTTTCGGGCTCTCTGGCAGCCTGTGGGTACAGAGCAGGGGCCTTCCTTTTCCCTGGAAACGGAACCCTGAGTTTCTTGGGGCAGCTACCCAACACTGCACAGAGGGCAGAGTGCTTGAAATCCCCTCACACCCCAGCTTCAGCTGGCTCTGACCTCACCTCTGCCATCAGCTCATCTTTGGCCTGACTTAAAATAATCAGAAATCTCCAGTGGTAACCGGTGGGAACTGGGACTAGGGGCAGGAGGCTTGTGACTATTGACCTGGAATGAAGTCAACTTAGTTAAGGGCAAAGAAAATCATCCTTATTTGAGGCTAGTTAGGATTGAATTCTGGGAAAGCAGATTCAAGCAAACTTGAAAATGTGCTCTGAGGTTTTACCAATGGTGGCTCTATTTATAGCTGTACATGGCAAGGGCTGGGAATGAACCCCTGCTTGGTCAGGAGTCATCATCGGCACTGGCAAGGTGAAGGCCTCAGGGTGAAGGGGCTTGGGTGTCACCCCAGCCTCTGGGAAGTTCAGGGAAGTGAGTCTGTGGTGCTGAAGGTCAGTAGAGGTCCAGGAGCTTTTGAAGGAAGCTCTTATCCAAGAAAGGGTGTGCCTGAAACTCAGTTCAGAGACGTGGCTTGTGGCCATTTGGGGTCAGCGGTGGTCTCCCTGCCAATGCCCCTCCACTTTGAATTCTTCCTTGACAGACCGAAGAGCCCCTTTGCGCAGCAGCCCCGGCTCCTCCTGTCCAGCTCTGTGTCCTTGGCCCTGGATCTCCCGCCACATCTCAGCTTTGCTGAGAGTCTATGACAGAGTGTTCAGGATCGTAGTGTATCGCCGAGTGCTTTCCCTGGTTTTTGTGCTACTGCTACCGATCCCTCCTTGGGTACCTGGCCCACTCTGCCTGTTTTTCCTTGGGGAGGGGAAGGCGGACCAGAATGCAGCTAACAAACAAGTTAATGCTGTGGTGAATGAATTTCAGGAACTTGAATTTAGCATAAGACTCTTGTGAGGCCACGGAGTGGAGCTCGAGCCTCTGCATTCGCAGAGGGCCTGGACGATGACTTGGCCCTGGAGCTGAGTGTGTCATGGAGCAGTGCGGCAAGTGGCACTGCATGGCTGTGGCCAGAATTCAAACATGCGGGGTTCGTGAGCAGGGCAGATGGGGGAACAGCAGTGGTCTTCCTGGTCAGTGAGTGGGGATCCAAAGAATGTCGGGGCAGGACAAGTGTAGAGGAGCCTCGATGTCGAGCTCCTGACCGGGCCCTTAGCCACTCCCTGGGCAGCCTCTCACTGCCTGGGAGTTGTGGGGAGACCAGGAGTTGGTACAGACAGTTAATCTCCCTCCTAACGGGGAGCCTCTCCAGAGCAATACAGTCACAATACTTACATCCTGGAGACTGTGACCTGGCGTGAACATCTTCCTGGTGTACAGGCTGAGCATTTCTAGCCCCCAACCCCACCATCTGAAATGCTCTGAAATCTGAAAGTCTCTGGGCACCAACACCACACCATGAGTACAAGATTCCATGCCACGAACGTTATCTGAAGCGTTGTTCAGACTCAGCTTCAGCCTGCGGTATAAGGGCCCCACAAAGCCTAATGCATTTCATGTTTAAACTTGAGTCTGATCCTTAAGGTAGCTCATGATGCAGATGCAAATATCCCAAAACCTAGAAAAAAGTCCCAGATCCCATCACTTGGGATCCCACATATTGCATACTGAGGGCAAATATAGCTTTTGTTTTAAATTGAATACCTATTGCGGGGAAAAAGGATGAGAAATTCTACTGCACAACAAACGTTTTTCCTTGAAAACACAGCAAATCTGTGTCTCATGTCCAGGGTAAGCCCTAGGGTGAGGAGGGCAGAGAAAATGCGTAAGCCCCTCAGTGACAGAGTGCGTCCGTCCGCTGCCCTGGGAGTGCTGATAGTCCGCAGGCGAACCAGGTTCCCGGCGTCACCCACACTGATAGTGCGTCTCACAGCCTGTCACGAGTGTGTGTCCAGCAGGCACGCTTCTGCTCATGCTTACCACCGACCCTTACCTTGGGGTGTGCCTGCAGCCGTCACCCGTAAGGAATGGGGTGTATCCTTCAATCATAGTTCATATCCTAAATGTTTTCCTCAGACGGTTTCTGCTACAGATTTCCTGAAGGTGTGTCACTCTTACAGTTGGATTTACAAAAGCATTAACGATCATTTCCTCTCATGGGTGGGACAGAATAGATATTGTTACTATTTTCTTAAAGGCCTCGTGAATAGCTACAGTGACATTAAATGGAGCACTGAGGCTGGAGCAGGTGTGGTCGGCACCGATCACCTTCTCTTTAATAACAGCTTTATTGAGATACAATTCCACGCCATCCATTCACCTTACGGTGTACAATTATATACTGTTAGTGTACTTAGGGTTGCCCAATCATCTCCCCTGTAGATTTAGAAACATGAACCCTTCCCAAATCCCTGTTCCTCTTCAGGTGCTCTCTGTTCTCATGCCTATTGCTGGTCTTTAACTACTAATCCACTTCTGTTACTACGGATTTGCTGACTGGAGCTATTTCCTGTGAATGGAATCATGGGCAATGGATCTCTGTGCCTGTCCTCTTTCACTTAGATAAAATTCTCAAGCCTTGAAAATATTATTGAGGATGAGGCACGTGCTGTAGTTCACACCCACAGTCCTGTTTTCATGGCCAAGTAATATTTCACTGTATGGGTTTAGTACGTTTGCACACTCATCAGTTGAATACTTAGATTATTTTTCCTTTTTGGCTCTTCTGAATAACTCATAGGTGAGTTTTCGTATGGCCATCTGATTTCATTTTCTTAGGCCTATACCTATGAGTGGAGTTTTGGGATTATAAGGTGATTCTTCACTTTGAAAGGAGCTTCCAAGCTGTCTCTCGGGTAACTGAAGAGTCTGGGTTGCACAGTAGTTCTACATTCTTTTGAGGGGCTGCCAGACCATTTCCACAGCAGGTGCACAATCTCTCACCTCCCCCCGGTGATGTGTGAGGGTCCCAGATTTTCTACACCCACAGTTGTCTCTTTCTGATCATCGCCTCTTAAGCAGGCGGAGAGTGGGGTGTCCTGGGATTTGCGTTTGTGTTTCCTGATGATCTTGGTATCTTTCCATGTGCCCACCGGACACTTACGCATCTTCTTTGGAGCGCTTTCTACTCGTACCCTTTTCCATTTTTTAAGTTGGGTTGGTGGTCTTTTGACACCGAATCTACATCTTCAAGTGTATGACTTGCAAATATTTTTTTCCATTCTGTCAGCTGTTTATTCCACATTCTAGGTGGTATTTTTTTTTAAACAAAACTGTTACATCTTGTAAATGTTAATTGTATATTTTTCCTTTAAGACACAGTTTCTTGACCACCAAAGGCAAGAAAACGTTGGGTGACAGTTGACCCTGGAGAGGAGATAATTAAGTCTTTATTTCAGTTCTGAGGGGCCCGGTGCACGCTAGGCCAGCTCTCTACCACTGAGCCGCCCTCCCAGCCCAGGAATAACGTTAAAAACGTGATGCTGAATGTGAAAGAGCTTGGAAGCTTTTAGCTTAGAAGTAAGGAGTGATCACTGCTTAAGGAGTGATCACAGAATGTTTGTTGCACCATGAATACAAGATGACGGCTCCCTGTCTAGTGGACGGCAGCTGCATCGAAGGGCTGTGTTACAGGAGACGGGATTGGAAACTCAGTGAACAAATGTAGAAAAATGATCGCAGGAGAAGACGCACCACCACTGAGCTCCCTCCCAGCACTCGCCCTTGCTGCAGACACTCTTACTCCACCGCGCTTGCCGCTTCCGAAGCATTTCTGGAGGTCCTCTGCCCTGAGCGTCTACTTGTGCTGCTGTGTTACCTTCCGTGGCCAGTGTGACCTTGGGGAGCAGCCTGGAATCCCGTGGCACCAGAGCCGGTGAACAGGGCGGGGAGGACGGGGAGGATGGTGAGGACGGGGAGGACGGGGAGGATGGTGAGGACGGGGAGGACGGGGAGGACGGGGAGGACGGGGAGGACGGGGAGGACAGTGAGGACGGGGAGGACGGGGAGGACGGGGAGGACGGGGAGGACGGGGAGGACGGGGAGGACAGAGCACCAGGCTTCGCTGAGCCGCTTTCTCGTTGCATGAGGCTTGACAGCAGCCTTTATCGTATTTTTTAAAAATCACATTTCATAAAGACACTCAGGAAAGATGACGCCCAGAACTACTTAGGAAAGTGGCAAGAATAATGGGATCAGTGTGTTCAAAGCAGGGGAGGATCTGAGGTGGATTAATGGCGGCACACTGCAAACATGTAAGCAGTCTCTGAGTGTTTTGGCCATCTGTGTATGAGCATGCATATTAGAATACTCCAGTTATCACACAGGCAAGGGGTGATCTGGGGGCACGGTCTTGGTAAAGTTCCAGTTTTTCCCCACTAATTTTATTTCATTGTTGAGAGTGGCTCCAGGTGCTGGGAACGGCAAGGGAAGCTTTTTGGGGCTCCTTGGAGACCCTTTGAGATGAGTGCCCACAGAGTCAGCTTTTTTTTTTTCCTTTTCCTAAGTTGGCCAAATTCTGAAAACCTCTGAAAGAAAGAAGTCTAAGAAAGCCATGGACTTCCAAGGAGTTCGTGATAGGGCAGGAGAAGCAGCCGCACCGGGCGGAGGCTTTGACGTGCTGGCGCCCTGTAGGGCCAGGTGCGCTGTGCTTCTCCCTAGACAGAGCTCCCAGATGGCCATGGACCAGCAGGAGGGGGAAATGAGGCCACCCCACGGCCCTGGGTTCACTGGGCGTCACTCTCAGAATGGCCTTGGACATTCAAGTAAAAGTAAAGCTCCAGGACGAGCAGGGCAAGACCCTGAGTGACAGCTCTGTCTCCCTGCAGCAGCTGCACTGGGTCCTCTCTAAACTCTCTTGGTCCCCTGAATGGGACTGCATTGGTGGTAGGGTCCTCCAGGCCTTTGTGCAGGGTGACGGTGTCCTGTTTCTGGGAGGAAGACGCAGCACACACAGTGGGAGGACCGGAAGTTGCAGATGGATCTTGCGTTTCCCCAGAAGTCCAGGTGTGGAAGGCTTGGTCTCCAGAGCGGAGCCTTTGGGGATGGGGCCTGGTGGGCGGTCATGGGTCATTCAAGGATGTCCCCAAGGGGAATCATGGAGCCCAGCCAGTCCTCCTCTCTTTGTGGTTTTGCCCCACCCCACACTCCTGCCTGCTGTATTCCATCATGGGCCAGAGCCTTCAAGCCGTGAGCCAAAATACACCTTTTCTTTTCAAAAACTAATTATCTCAAGTATTTTGTTATAGTGACGGAACACTCACCACACATCCCATAAGGGCACAGGGAGAGGATGGTCACCTATGAGTTGTGGAGAGAGCTTTGGGGGAATCAGCGCTCCCATCTGGACCTGGGACTCCCAAGAGAAGAACTGCATCGGCCTCGGGGGCCTCAGCTCTGGAACTTTGTTGTGGCAGCACCAGCAAATTGACACACCGCCTACTTTCTGCCAACATCTGTGCAAAGAATACGCAGATTTTTCCACATAGAAACAGGAGCATGCAAAATTAGATGGGAGACTGATTGGCTTGGACAGACTTGATCACGAAGAACTGCTTCCAGTGAGGCGTTTGCCTTTGGCGCTGACCTTTGTGAAGCATTTCTGCAGCATTTTTATACCCAGCCCTGCAGTTCATCCTGACAGCAAGCAGGGGGACTGGTGAGGATTCCTTGCTGAGCACACGGGGCAGGCAGCGGCTGGCTCCTCAGAAACCCAGCCAGAGAGCAGCAGAGGGCACCAGGAACCCAGGCCTCTGACCCTGAGCCTGCTTCTGCCTCAGACCGAAACCGCCTTCCTGGAACTCGGTGCTGCGTTTCTGGGAAAGGCACTACAAGTTGAAATGATATAAGTTTAATCTAATTTATTAGCAGAAGTTTTATAATGGAGGTCACAGTGTGAACCAAGTGCTTGATTCCCAAACTGTTATACAAAGAACAAAAATTCCATATGTGACCGCGTCCCAGTTATGTGTCTATGCAGCACACGGTAAAAATTGGCAATATAATACCTGCTCTTATAAAACTTAATTTCATTTTTAATATAATTCCCACAAGAGGGCCTGGTAGAATGGGATGAAGGGCCAGAGATTTTGTAGAAACAGCTGGTGATTTCCTGGTTTCCAGAGGTTTTGCCCCAGGCTGAGACTAACATGACCCTCCAGAGATGCAGCATGGGGAGGGCAGGTCCTGGGCCCAGCACTGGATGAGGCTGTGCTTTCCAGGCCTAGTTGGAGGCAGGGGAGCTGGCTGGGTATGTGCCCTGGGCCCCAGGAGGCTGTGGTGGCCCGGAGTTTGGAGTCTTCCTGGTTAATCTTGTGCACGTGGGCCTTAGCCCCTGTTTTCGGGGTGAACCTAAGGACCAACAGCTGACCTGGGTGGCTTCACCTCTAGAAAACCAGAGGCCTCCCACTGAGAGCAAACTGGCACAAGGCAATGCCCAGGAGGCTGGAGACACAAGTGTGGGGACGAGGGACAGGAAAACAGGCACAGCCGGGAGCGGCTGGCCCGAAGCCCTGCGTCCATTTCCTGTCTGTCTGGCTGCAGCGAGGAGTGGCTTGTTTTCCTCTTTCGGGTCATTTTGGTCACACTGGAGGTGACATGTGGAGCGTCTGCGTGGGGAGTCCTCAGCCATCTGGGCCTCGTGCTGGAGAAACAGGAAGGCGCCCCTTTTCTCCTCTCGAGTTTACAAAATCCTGCAGCTGGGACGCAGGCAGCCCGGCCGCGTTGCTTTTAGGTCAGTACGAGGCAGAGCGGGTGGAGGAGACCCTGGCTGGGCTGGGGACTGAAGCTGCCTTTCGAAGGAGCCCAAGTTGCTCCTGGCCTCAGCCGAGGACTGTGATCCGAAGCCCACTCAGCAGAGAGGGGAGCTGTCTCTGTCCTGATGGGAAACCTTAGCGCAGACCAGGAGGAGAGCTGGGGGGCTCCAGGACAAGAGCGCCCCAACCCCAGCCTCGGGGAACTTGCTGTCACTTTTATTTTACTCTTGATTCTAGTCTAAGTGTAAACAAAAACCACATACAAGCCAACCCACCAAAAATACAACAGGAAAAAAAAGACAAAAGAAAACCCAACCAAACAAAAATACAACAGACCTTTGGTCATTTTCCTCCTCCTCCTCTCTGCCTGCATCAGTCAGCCCATCCGCTGCCCACCTGCCTCCACCTGCATTTCTCTATTGTCTGTTTTTACCGTATCTGTTATTTTATTTTAAAGAAAGAAAAACAAAAAACAAGAGACAAACAACTGTAACAGTAAAACCCCCAAAACAATAACAATATAGGCTTTCAAAACAAGATGGTAGGAATCTAACCATGGTTGTTATATTGTGTGTTGCTATCTTCAAAAGAGTTACTTAGATTCCGAGACAGAGGCATGCAAAGTTTGCTGTATCTGCACTGCTCACATTTATCTATCTTTTATCTGCCATCTGTTGTTCTTTTATGTCTATCATCTGATCTACCTGTCTAATCTAATTTATCAGTCATCTGTTTATCTAAATTTGAGAGAAAACCGGGAGGCCCAGATGTCGCTCCCGCCCCATGTTCGGTGGGAAACTGGTGTCTCGCTGGCTGTGAAAATACTGCTGCGTGGACCTTTGACCTATCTGGGCCTTAGACAGATGACAGTTGTATCCTATTTTCTGTGATCCCAGTGAACAGAGGAGGCAGAGCCTGAACAAGAGAAAGAGTGTTGGGGCCGAGTTTCCCCTCAGTAGAAATGAGAACACGCTGCCTCTGACCGGTGAGAACGGCTTTTGCCCTCCATGTTTCCCAGGCAAGGTGAGCCCCGCTCCAGCGGTGGTCTCACTCTGAGTTTTCTAGGGCAGAGACTTAACACAAGGTTTGTTTGTTTGCATTAAGTTGACAAATGGGGGCGAGGTGTTAGATCAAACTGAACGTGTAATGTAATGCTGATTAAACATCCCTTGACTGAAATGCTTATGAGCAGAACCCTGGATTTCGGAATTTTCGGATTTTAGATTCTCAGGTTAGGGGTGTTTGACCTCCGTTAGCAGACTGGGTTACCTGCCCATTTCTTATGCTTTCATGTAAAGGCCGCGTAGCCAGACTGGAAGCGTAGCGAGGTCGGCCTTCAGCTTGGCTGTCCAGTTGTCTCACCTGCACCTTATTCCCCGCTGGTGAGGTCTAAGAGGCCCGCGGTCTGAGCCTGCATTCTCACGAGAAGAGGCAGGAGCAGACAGGAAGCGGGACCCCTGGAGTCTGTTCTCACGACTGGCTTCAGTGGAAACAATGGCACGGGTCCACTCTTTTCCCAGTTTTCAGCTGCCGTTCTTCTTTGATGAGCTTTCTTCCTCCTGACCCTTCCGCCCACCCGATCCTCTCCCGGGGATGGGAAGCAGGATCTGTCCACAAAGCCCTTGTTCCTGGGAAGAGCCACGTGTTTGCCCAGCCAGCCTCACTGCCCATTCCAGCTCCTCAGGTGCCCATGGACTTCCTGGGGGACAATCTCTGGGGAGCCAAGGCTCTCTTAAGCCATATCTTACACAAAAGTGTGGAAAAAACACCTCAACTCTATGCGAAACCCTGTATTTTTCTGAAAAACTTTGCAACATAGAGATCTGAACACCGATTGAGATATTAGCTGTTCTTCGGGTATCAGGAAGACCCCATTGAAACTGTTAAGGCAATGTTCAGTCCTGAAGGCCGTAGGCAGGAGCTGTAACATGAGGTAGCTGTGATCTCAGGAGGCTTGCAGGGGTGGCGGCCACCAGAGAACTCAGGGTGGAAGCTACAGCCACCAGATTACCATGGGGGCAGCACAGGGTTTCAAGGATGTGACCATTGTTAGCTTGCACAGTGAATGGTCCTGCAGCTGCTAGACAGTGCTCAGGGGGGCTCTGCATCCTCTTCAGCTCCCCACTGTGGTCTGGAGCCCCA